AAACACACACACACACACACACACACACACACACACACACACACACACACACACACACAATTAAATGAATTAAATCCGAGGGGTCACTTCACTAAACTAACAGCTCGGGTGTAAAATATCGCGAGCCTGTTTTCAAGAAATGAGGCGTAACTTTAACTCTCATAAAATGACAATTTATTAAACAAACAAACAAATCCTTCAGAATATTTTTTCAACAAATGAAGATTCTTTGAAATAGTACGGCGATATACACGTTCCTTTTTCTTACTTTTATAATGGAACAATTTTTTAGGACACTTAAGGCAGTTCAATTTAGAAACACTTTTTTTGGTGTTTGGTCCATAATATCCGGCTACAGTTTAGAAATAAATTACTATATGCATTTTACACGTCCATGAAAAGTGACATATATTTAACACATCACATAAAGCCACAAAAGCAAAGGGAGACTTACGTGTTATTTGCAGTAACACTGTTCTTTAGAAAGATCAAGTCTTTTTTTGTTTTCTTTTCTGTTTCATATTAGTCCATGTGTGAGTGAGGGAGGCAAGGAAGGGCAACAACGCTGGATTTAACTGAACGAGTTCAAACACCGTGAGGGGGAAATACTGACCCTGTTTTTGGGCTGTTTTTGTTTTGTTTTTTTGGTCAGAACTTGCTGCAGTCATACACGAATGCTCCCGATGTGCGATAGATGGATTGGCTTGGTGGGAATGACATCTGACAGCTGCTATTCCCATTCACAGGTGAATTATTCAAGCCAATTCTTTGGGATTCGAACATCTCTCTGACCGCATGGAAGTTCTGCTGTTGTGCTGGGTAAGCTGCACCCAGATGGCCCAGGTCCCCGGCCTGGTTGAGGTACCATGAGGTCAACCTTCCTTGGTGGGGATGGTGGCTTTCCTGCCCAGAGTTTAGATTACCGTGGGTCAGGGAGGATGAGGTGGTTGTGACTGAGTAATCTGGCAACGTTTCGTCCACGGTGGTGCTCGGTGCCAAATGGCTAGATCTGTCCCCAGCGTAAAGGCTCATGGCTTGCATGTTACAATGATAAGTTGCATTGGAGGTAGTGGAGATGGAGTTTTGGTTACAGGGTGAACTATAGACAGATGTCTGACTTGGAGAATAGTTTAAGGACAAAGACGGTGTTATACCTGTCCTGGTGGAGGCGGTGAGGCTGGAGTTGAGCTCAGTGGCCCCTTGTGGAGATCCCCGGAGGGAGGTCATGATGTTGTCTACGCTGAAGCCCTGCGTCGAGGCCTGGCCGTGATGTTGGTGGTGCTCGGTACTGTCCATACCAATGGACCTACTGGAGGGGATGCTGTGGGGGCTCCCGCTGGACATGCTGCTACTGTCTGGACTCTCGATTTTGGGAACGGAGCTCAAGGAAGGCGACTCGGCCTGTGGTGGCGTGACCGCCCCGTTCTCCGTTTTTATATCCTGGATCCTCACAGGCTGGGAGCCCTGCACCGGCTGCTCCTGCTCCCGGCCCTGTTGCCTCGGCGGTATCTCCTTCTGCAGCCGCTCTTCTTTCTCTTTTAGTGCGTCCTTCTTTTTGAAACGCCGTCTCCTTCTCAAGAAGCTCCCGTTCTCAAACATGTTGTAAGAGTCTGGGTCCAAGGTCCAGTAGCTGCCTTTACCGGGCTTTTTATCATCACGGGGCACTTTAACAAAACACTCATTCAGAGACAGATTGTGTCTGATACTGTTCTGCCAGCCCTGCTTGTTGTCTCGGTAAAATGGAAACCTTTCCATGATAAACTGGTAAATCCCATTCAGGGTCACCTTTTTGTCAGGCGAGTTTTGGATAGCCATAGTGATGAGCGCAATGTAACTGTAAGGGGGTTTGACCATATCCTTGGGCTGAGGCTGGGGTGTGTAGGGTCCATACGCCCGGGCCATGCTGGCAGGGTACTGGTCATGAGCCGCGTGAGAGTACATGTTCATAGGTGCTGGCATCCCCGTGTATCCCCCACTGGCTGCGGCCCGATAGTAGCTCGGGTCGCTGCTGATGTACGGCACGACGCCCAGTGAGTTGGGACTGGAGACAGAGTAGCGAGCCTGCATGTCTTCACTTTGATCCGGCAAAAATAAAGCTCCAAAAACGCAGAATGAGTGCTCCTCTTCTAACTCCTTTGGAGATAGTGGCGCTCAAATCACAAGACTTCGTTCCTCCCTTTAAAAAAAAAAAGCAAAAGAGGGAAAAGTCTTAACCGCAGTGCAACTTGTTGTGTTTAAGCTGTCCCCATCCTTGTGTCCCAATGAAACGCACACTGAAAAACTTCTGAACTTCGGACATCCGTCACTACAGAGGACTTTTGCGCAGTTAAATTCTTTCCTCCTTTTTTGCTGCCAGGGAAGCTCCGCCTACAAAAGCGCAGGAGCTGTCCAATGGGATGTCCGGGCGTGCAAAGGGAGCAGAAAGCTGCTGGCCACACTCAGGGATTTTAGAAAGCCAAAAAAAAAGAAAAAGAAAAAGAAAAGAAAGAAACCTAGGAGGTGTCGCTAACTCCCTGTCCGCTCCAGCCAAAGCTTCGGACACGACAGAGCAACATGTACACAGTCAGCTCATGGAGTTAATTTCCCCGCACTCTGTGTTAAGATCTGACATTGTCTACAATACATTTAATTAAGCTTAATGGCACAAACATGGTATTTATATTTCAAATGTAGAAGTGCAGTAACTGTCCGCTATTTTCAGTGCCAAAATATTTCTGATCCCTTTAAAACAATCCCATTGTATTTAATTTACATTTTCTCCTACGGTCATTGCTCTGAAAAAGAAGTTATTTCATTGCAATATTTCCTTTTTGTTTTTGCAGAAAAGGCGCTGACACCAGCGAACCAAATGGTGCAATTTAACATCTTTAAAGTGCATTTGATTGGTTAAAAACATTCAACACCAGCAGTAGGTCAGTGTGAGATCAAAGCGGGAGAGAACCTCACAGTGCTGGCAGTGGGCGTTAAGTGCGACCTCATTACAGCGAGAATCAGAGACAATTTGGGCTTCAGGTGACCAGAGTTGTGAGAGTTTATTCAGGGAGAGCATTTAGGACCGAGAACCAAATGGGACGACACCTTCCATGTGTGGCTTTTCATCAAAAAAATATTTGAATATTTGTTGCGCGGTGATGGTGAAAGCTCATCTGGAAATTATTATCCTAAAGAAAACTGGAGTGTAGAGAATAATTTTAGCATCAGCAAACAATTATTTACACGCACAGTTCTTCCGTTTCTTTACCCAGATTTAATTCTTTGTGTGATTAAAAAAAAACTCTGAGTTTATAATGTAAAAGGTCTGAAGCGCAAATCAGATAAATAAGACATTTTGACCAAATATAAAAAAACAGTTCAATAAGTCGACCCTGAAGGGCCCTAGATGTCCCCAAACTGTCAAGAGCGACGGTGCATGAAATTGTTAATGATCATTTTGAGACAAGGTTACAGTCCCAATATCGCTGTAATCCTTCGCAGGTCGTCTTAATTAAATATCCGTGCAGTGGCCTGGTTTCTCCTTACATGGACCCGGGCATGAACTTTTTCCACCGCCCTGGGCTGTTTACACAATTCACGACGGGCCTTTTACTTAATACCACGGCCTGCTCACCCACTCCTCCCTAACCCTTTATTTTAAAAAAGAAAGAAAAGAATTCACGGCTGGATCACAGTGAAAAACATGACATAGTGTCAAATCAATAAACACAACTTCAGGCGCTTTATGTGTGTCTTTTCTCGAACCAGTGTCAGTACAAGTAATGGAGATGTTATTCTCAATAAAAAATATATATTCCTGATATAATTTGTTTAAAAATTAAATTTGCCGTCAGTTTATCATATTTGTGTGTTTATGTTGATCATCACTTTCTGTCTTTCACCTTCATAATTACTAATAATATTATACTAGGGGCCGAAATCATAGCAAACCACATAAAGAAAATATAAACAAATATAATGGCAACAGCCTAAAAGTGTGAATTTTGAATGAACTAAGCATATTGTAAGCTGTATTGTGTTGCTAAACAACCGATGTTTCAAAACACAAATACGATACTATAAATGTGAAAAAATATATATATCAAACTAGATTTTTTAGTGGAGTGTAAAAAAAAAAGGACAAACAGAGGGGGGAGGGGGGGGGGCTTGGAGGTTTATCCCAATCACTATGAACGTGGCTCCCTCTAGTGTTCATAAAGGGTACAGTTTCAGTTGCAGCCTGTCGTCATGTCAGTCTTAGCTGAGTTCATGAAGTTCAGCTGATTTCTACAAACGCAATAATTTATTAATGAGACAGTGGCGACACTGAAATAAGAGCTGTTTGTGGTCACACCACATTTCCCGCATTGACAGGGAATTGCTGGTGTTTTGAGGATCAGGAGAATCACAAACCAGTGAAACAGTAAAGCAGTACCAAGAGACATAACCATACAATTCAACAATGTCGCCGATTCGCTCTGAAACATATCGTTTCCTAAGGCTCACACCGCGCACGAACGATTTGCCAGTGCCATGAGAAGTGCGCCATCCGGTGAGCGCTCTCGCAGTATGACGTACGTTCTCCCAACCAATAAAACTGCAGAATGGCAGGGAGCGGGCGTGACCGAAAAAAGTACGGATAGAGCACAGAAGCAAGCGCAACACAAATTTCTGGCCATTCATCCAGTCTAGCGGTCAGTGCAGCGCATACAACTTCCTGTGTGAAGGGGCGACAAGAGTGGTCATGGTGCACAGAAGGCAAAGAGGTCATACAGGGGTCAGAGCTAACTGAGATTAAACTAACTGAACATTACCTGAGAATAAAACAATGATTAAAGGAGAAGTTGGGCGGTGACCAGGTTATACTTTTAGGGCGCCTGAGCTGCCATTTCACTGAGTGTGGGACACGCATGAGAAAGTTCCACAGACACAAGTTTTTTTTTTACCACTCTTTGAAAGAATAAAATAAGAATAAGCAATTTTTTATGTTAATTAATGTGTGAATTAATATGGGTAATACTATGTAGTAGTTATTAGATTGTTTTATGATATAAAAGTGAGGATGGTGTTAAATCTTTGTAATGGTTATACATAATAAATGCCAACAGTTCCAGTGTGTTCTTACCTTGTCATGTTTTCATGTCTTGGCTATGGCCTCTGGATCATACTGTGAAGGGATGAAATATGACCAGTATGTAAGAATTATTTCAACTCTTGTCAGCTGTTGCTGTTGTGGCCATCAACCCTTTGACGTTAAACCTAACTTTTCAGAGGAACTATAATAAATATGAAGAAAGAAACGTCCTAAAAATCACCCATAGCGGCCAACGAACTAGTCTGTTTCATTTTTTGTGTACATGATAACGGTATATATATTCAGGATATTAATTATATTCAGTGATCCACATGAGCCCCCTGAGCAGCACTGAGATGGGTTTCAAAACATTTTTTAGCGGCTGCTGCCATCTCCCGATTTAATTCTGTACTACAGTTGCTGACTGACTGAGCAAATCAGAAAATACAAACAGGCACCTTCAGTTATGTGAAAGGCACAACCTTAAATACTATGAAGCAAAACTGATCATAAAAGCCTGCTTGTTGTTTTCATGCACTAAATGTGCAATCATTTCAACAAGTGTTTCAGGATACCAGGGAAGAGCATTTTCTCTGTGGCTCTCTAATGTTCCAGGTCAGCGTGTCAAACAGGACTAAAGAGATTCATTAAATGGCAAACAGACAATTTTTTTGGCCTATTTGAAAGAGTAAACATGTTGTATATGGATTATGTGTATTTAACTTTGTATGCATAAATAGCATACTAAAGAACCGTTCATGTGGTACAGTGGTTGCGGTGTATAAGCATGACCTTATCTTTACCTTAATTTTAACAATGACGAGTGTAGTGCCACAAATTCCTTTAAATATTAAAATAAATAGAAAAACAAAACAAAAAGCTTCTTCCTGTAGCCAAAGTATTACGATCAGTAATTTCACAAGTCATTTGCCTAATAAAGTGGTGAGTATGAACAAACGAAACAAAAGAAAACAAAACTGTAAAATTTTACAGTAAATTACTGGCAGCATCGGTGATTTCCTGTAACTTTACAAGGACCATACTGTAATTTATCTTTAATTTAATTTATTTATTTATTTACAGGATGATACTGTATTGTTTATTGGAAAAAGCTGTACAATTCTAATGACGTTATACTTTTCTATCTATCTATCAAATTCTATCTATCTATCTATCTATCTATCTATCTATCTATCTAGATAGATAGATAGATAGATAGATAGATAGATAGATAGCTGTGCTGTACTTTTAAAGTATTTTCTCGGGTACTACTGTATTTCACATTTTTTTCTGAATCTAGACTTCTTTACAGTGATATTCCGTTTTCTGCTTTTACTTTCTTTGCTTAGAATAATAACAACAACAACGACAAAACTAACAATAACAGTCATTCATATTTTCTAAATAGTTATAGTCTTGTTGTAAGTACTGTATTATGGTAATTTATTTATATGCAATTAAAATATCTCATATAAATAACTGTGCTTGTCACTGACACTGACTGTTTCAAGGCGCAAACCACTTCTCTGACCCATTTAAATACAGCGGCTCGTAGCTTGGACCTTTGTCTCTTGCGGTCTTTGGTCTCATTCCCTTCAGTGACATGTTGAATGAAATTATTTTCATGCGTTTGATGAATATTCTGCTTAGACCTTGTTTTATCGTCTTTAGCTGCTCCGACGCATGCCTTTCATTCTCTTGGTCAGTTAGCAGTCACTATAAAGAGTAAAGTATAAAGATGTCAGTCATGACTGAAACAAACTAAACCACATCAGAGCACTGATCGAAACTGGAGTCCCAGAATTTAAAATAACCATGTAGTTAAATTTTGTCATTTGCTGGGCTAGTGAGGAGCATTTGACTGTTCCTCCAGAAATAGAATAACCTCCTATTTCGGTTTTTGTTTGAAATGTTTGTTTTTTTCTGACTGCATGTCACGTTATGTTAATTTGTATTAAAAATAAATAAAATAATGCCAGAATTTTAATCTGTGACTTAAATGAAGTAGTAAATGAAATGAAATTTAACCTTGAAGTGATTCATTAGGAGAATGCTTGGATAAAGGAATACGCTTGATGACTCTTATGCTGTCAGCAGTATCACATAAAATCACACCTACAAACACCTCAATATTTGAGATGCAATTGAATACAGTTAACCTTTGCCTTTATCGGGGCTGGACTTGTAAACCCACCAACTTTGAATTACCGATCTCTATTTTTATACAACACAGTGTGTGTATTCTTATATACTGA